AAGGAAAGCAGCTTTTGTGAAAGGAGTCATCAAATTGGTGTTATTTGTGGAGAGTTTTTGAAGTATTATTCTCACCTTACTCATTGGCAAGCTGGTACAAGACCTACTTTATATTTTTTTTAAAAAATAACTTTTGGGGAAAAGAGAGACACCTGTAGACATCTGTTGAGTTGCCTTCCACAATTGATCTGAAAATGCTTCATAAAAGCAGAAAGAAGTTTGTTTCCACATCTTTCAGTTTGACTGCCCCCCCTCACTGACATAGACATTTCTGAAGGAGAGAAATGAATTTCCAAATTGTCACTTTGGCTCACTCACCGGTTGCTGCTGTGTGTTTAGATAACACTTGTTAAAGAGTGTTGGGAGTTTATTCTGCTGCCTTGGGCTTCTTTAACGAATCTCTTACAGAATATTGGTTGGGGGAGAATTTACCAATGCCCCTCCTCACTGCCCTACTGAGTGAGTTGAATAATTCTAATAATCAAAGGCACAGAGTCTGCATCTAGTTTAGAAATGAAACCATGGGTAATTTTCAAATGTGGTGCCCTCAATTTTTGATGAACTGTCACAGAAACAGGAATTACCACAATTCAAAAATCCCATCCACTAACGGACAGAGATCAGCATCTGTGGATGATTTCTTCTAACCCACTACCCTCAAATTTCCTTCCCAGCCCCCCCTAATAAAAACACCCCTTTGCCTCATGCTTCCAATTTAGTACAATCATGCCTCTTACTGGCCATTGCCTTGCAGGACACCAGCTGTCAAATACATAGATGCAAGGTATACGGGTTTGAAATATAAAGCCTTATAATGTAAAAGACATGCACATCTTCTATCAAGTCTAATATTAGATTCTAATAGACCTGCTCAGCATGGAGAAACAAGAGCTCTACTGTATCAGAAACACTTGAAATGAAGGCCCGCTAAATGGCAGTTACCACTTTCCAGTCTTTACATATGTAACCTAACCTAACCTAACATAGTATCATTCAGGAAAGAAATGGCCCTGATCCATATCTTCCAACCCCCTCCCCATCAATGGAGGAATTGTGAAAGTAGCTCCAAACCAAAGACAGTTTTAAGGAGTCGTCTTTGAAGAGGAGAGTTGGGCTCTTCCAAAGATTCTGAGAATGTGAACTTGGGGGAGATGCCTAGGGGCTAGAAGGTGCCATTTCTGAAGTTGGAGTGGCTGATTTCATGCACAAACTGCATTTTTTTCTTTTTGCAAGAACTCACCAAAGACCCAATTAGCCACATCACTTCCGCACTAGCGCTCGAGCCAGGTAGCAGAGGCAAAGGGGAGATGAAATTCTTGCCCGTAGGGAATTCAGGCTCTTCAAGGGAGAAGGTGGGGAGAGCCAAATAAATAAGTAAATGATACACAGTACAAAATGCTATGATAAAAGCATTGGTAAACGGGAGGAAGACCAAAAGAGGGAGGGGGAGGTTACCTCTGCCTGGGGATTTAAGGACAGTTTCAGAGAGACGATGACATTTTCAGGATGACAGGCGATTTGCAGGTGTTTGCAGGGCTGTGAGGTGGGAGTGTATTCCAGGATGGGGCAAGAAGGTGTGCAGGGACGCACAGCAATGCTTTAGCAAGCATAGCAAAGTGCTGGTTTGACAACATGAGCGCAGCTCTTTGGAGAGTGAAGCTATAGACAATTCCGTGTTGTTTAACCTTTACAGCGCATTGAGACAGATGTGGCTTGGCTCCTGCATTTTTGGCTTTTCATGGGGGCTAATTCATTGATCAACTATGCTTGAAAACACAGGCTCTTTTAAAGCATATATGGGTAAGTACCTAGCACATAGTAAGTATTCAATAAACATTAGTTATCATTATTATCATCATTATAAAGCATCCATTATGTCACAAGTACTTTTCTGGGCACTTCGAGAGCAGAAACTGTAGAATAAAATATGATCCAATCTGTAGACGGCTTTGTTTGGGGAGACCTGGCGTAAGTGCAAATACATACATTAATTAGAATTATGTAGTAATGTATATGAAATTAAAAACTACAGTAAGGTATTTTAAGGCATTAATTATTATAACACACATAAAAATGTAAAAGGAAGAGTAAGGAAATAAACTGAATTCATCAAAGGAATTTGGAACTTGAGTTGAGTTTTGAGAAATGCGCTAAGCCAGGGTATCTCAGGAAAACAAAAGACCCAGAACGTGGAATCTGTTGGCACCAGCAAGTCATGGGGGTGGAAATAAACATACCATTTTCTGATTGTAACAATAACATTTGCTCCCAAGAGCATAAGATTCATGTTGGGCATAGGTTGAAAATAATTGGATGTGGTCAGCTTCTGGAGAAAGTGATGAACTCTGGAGAAATTTGTCTGGTTTTGGTACTAACAGATACAGGAAATCTTTAGTTAAATTTTGTCTTTTCATTTTCTATCTAATTGCAATGGCACAAATCTCTGAAAGAATTGACATATTGAATATTCTGAATTGGGACAATTTCTTTTACCGATCTATCTTTGGCCCCCCAATTAAGTCACCACTAAATGAAAACGAAATAGAAAAAAAATCGCACGTGTTTCTCCTCTAATTTTAGAATCTGCCATAAACTTAGTCTGTTGGCCCTATTTTCAGATCATTGAAAATTTAAGCAAGATCGGAAATAAAAAGCTTTTTGTGAACTCCCAATATTCTTACTTAATAAAACAAACAAATGTTGTTCTAACGCTGGTAATGGAGGGAGAAGTTCCATGTGGGGACAGCTGCGCAAAGCTCAAAGTCTTAATTCTTGCTCACTTAAAATTGCACTCCTCCAAAATATTTATTAACGAGAAATCAAGCTTCATGCTCTATTTAAAAAGTTGCCTTCTAACACTGGCCTCTCGACAAAAAAATCTGGCTGATTTACTTCATGTGGAGGCATGTCCTTTGAATAGTCTTTCTGGAAATGGGGATGGATCTGTGTCGCTTCATTTATTCTTTCTGGGTCAGTTTCCCTCATGATCATGAACATACATTTCTGAGAATGCTGATCTGAATTAAGGGCATAATCTATATCCATGGAATACAGAGCATCAGACTGGCCCACACAGAGACTAGATGTGGATACAGAGACTACTGTATCCTAACTCAACTAACTAAATACTGTATTTTCTCAAGGAAAAAAAAGTTATAGGTCAGATTCAAATAGATTCAGATTTGCCAGACAGTTAGTGTTTATGAGCTACAGGTCCTCTTCTAGCAAACTTGTGTTTGAATTAGTTTGCCATTCAATAACAAATATTAATTGCAACTTTATACCCTCTGATTCAACCATCCCTGAGAAGTCCATGTACTTAGATGCCTCCTATCACATTTTAAATGCTCTCTTAAATATTCAAATTATATAATTATGCCTAATTATGCAATACATTGTATTTGAATATAAAAGCATAATACAGTTTTGGCATCATTGTCATCTTACAGCACTTGCCTTATTATGCTGTGGCATTTTGAGTATTTTTGATCAAACAGTATAAATGGAACAGGTTTTGCATACTGAGCATCTTAAAACCCACTTTAAAGAGATTTACTATCAATGCACATTTTCTGTTCAGCTGGAAAAAATAAGAACTTTGTAGTGTGTATTATGAAATGTTAAATATTAATACTATTTAAAGTTAATGGTATGCCAAAGAAAATGTCTAATAATACATTATACAATTAAATGCCTATCATATTAGCTCATCTGTTAACAAAATAAAATAGATTTAAACAGAAGGGCTCTGATTTGTATTTTTTTAGCAAGAGTTGCCCATGTGTAAAATCTAAGTTATTTATTCAATTTTTAAACTGCTGGATGCATCGGTTTGCAGTTATTTGCATTATATTTGAATGCTTTGTCATATGTTCCTGATACAACCAAAAACAGTTTTTTTCTTTTTGTATGGAGGCATTTTCTTCTGCACAGATGCGACTGACAGTGACCAAAAAAAAATCAACCAAAAAATACCTTCCTCCGTGTCTAGAGAATCACTGAAGATTTCTGGGCACCCTGCAGACAACAAAGATCTCAACACTACTGTGTCAAACCCTTTGCTAAACTGCATTTGTTATCACATCTTAAACTGGTACCCAGGTACATAGTTCAACATCATCGTTCTGACCTTTCCAATAATCATCTTTGCTGGTCCGAGGTTAACTATCTTCTATTTCATAATCTATGTTGTAATTTTATGTATCTTGGTCCATGGATGCTTGTATACCATCATGTACTTGGCTTTAAGGATAGTTTTTCTTTTCTTTTCTTTTCAGTGTTAGTAGCTTAAAATACCTTGAAAGCATGTGGGTTTTGCTTCTAAAACATTTCAAAGATTATATATTAATAGAATGCTGAGCACATGTGAGGGCCCATGCTTGTGCCTGAGCAAGCTAACCAACTTAATTGGGAAGCAATTACCCCTTTCCTGAACCTATCAATTACAGCAAAGTTTGTGTACATCATCTCCCAAACCAGTTATTGTATGTTAAAAAAAAGCCCCCAAAACTTAGGGCGCCTGGGTGGCTCAGTTGGTTGGGCGACTGCCTTCGGCTCAGGTCATGATCCTGGAGTCCCCGGATCGAGTCCCGCATCGGGCTCCCCGCTCGGCGGGGAGTCTGCTTCTTCCTCTGACCCTCCCCCCTCTCATGTGCTCTCTCTCTCTCATTCTCTCTGTCTCAAATAAATAAATAAAATCTTTAAAAAAAAAAAGCCCCCAAAACTTATGAAATGAATTTACCTAGAGAGTTTGAAGCATGTTTGAGGACTGTTTGAAAGTAAGAGCACTGCCTGAGTGATGCCTGACATCCCTTCCACATACCAATCTCCATGGCACAGGATTCATTGTCCTAACTGTAAAAGTTCATTTATTCATTGGAGAGAGCTTCTGATTTCCGGACACAGTGTACTAAGTTTTCCTGGGGGAGCATCTTCCTTCTCCTATCCGTTAATGTGCCCTGGATGGGACTCTACCTACACCTCCAAGTATGGAGCATGAGACCTTCATCTCAGTCAATCAGCTCATCATATTTCCTCAGCCACAGTGGTTGATTCAGGAATATTGGTAATGACTCAACTTGGCTCATTAGTGGTCAAGCCTGTTGGAAAAGAGATTCCTGATGGATTAGAAGCAAAGACAATGTTGACCCGGAGATGTTGCAGTCATTTTACACCATGTGAAGACTAAGAATGAAGCTAACATGGAGGAGAGCAGTACTGAGAGATCAAGAGAAGTTAGGTCCTAATGAGGTTATCTAGGTCCCAGAATTTAGAGGAACTTAAATCTTGGTTGCTTCCTGAATTTTCCAGGTACTTGAATAAAAAAATTAAAGATTGGATTGGCTTTCTGCCTCTCGAAATCAAAAGAGTCCTAACTGATTCACTTGTACTTTTTATTCACTCTTTTGTTTGCTAGATGGTGCTGAGCTTTGCAGCCACTGCATTTTCATATACCAAAAGACCAAATATGTCAATCAATGAAAAAGTCAAATTTTCTTAATATTCTGTGATGAAGGAGACTGTGTTTTAGCTGATATAAGGAATGGGCTGACAGCATATTAAAGTCAAATACCGAGATCTGGCGCAGATGGTAAATTTCCTCCATTTTTCTTTCAAAATTTGTCTTAATAAAAAAAATCTCATCAATCTGAGCCCAAACTAAGTGAAAGTAAAGTGGGAAGATTGTGCCTAGACACACCATTTTAGTTTTTCTCTTTTTCAAGGGATTTGCTTTTTTCTCAATGAGTTAGTACTCTGCACAGTTAGACCATACCTTTACGGGCAGAAAGATGGTGTTTATGGTCTTCGGCTAAAGTCATTAACTGGGATGGGACATTTCTTAGAGGAGATTATTTTAGGCTTCCTGTCATTCCAACGGGAACCAACGCAGTAATATGTGATTCACATCGTTAGCAAGAGTCAACAAAAATATTTGTCATACCTTACACCAAGGGAAGAATTTAACTAGTGGATACAGCAGGGCTAGTCTTGATAAAACTGTTAAGCAAAATGTGGCTTTTAAAAATCTAACTCATTATTAGACTCCATGCTTTTTTTTCCTCTTATACTTCTTAAGATTTCTTCTGAGTTTGTCATTCTTTAGAATATACTCCTCTCGTCTTCTAACTCTTTCAAGATTCCTTGTTCTTTGATGTATTCCCTTAGAGGTATGTATGCTAGGTTGTATGCTATTCTTCCTGATAAACAGATTTGTGTTCATGATATTTTCTTAATGTGGAAACCTCATATAATACTTACATTCTTTTTTTTAAAAGATTTTATTTATTCATTTGAGAGAGAGAGAGAGAGAGAAAGCGAGCAGGAGGGAGAATCTGAAGCAGACTCTGCACTGAGCCCAGAGCCTCATGCGGGCTCGATCCACGACCAAGAGACCACGACCTGAGCTGAAACCAAGAGCCGAAGCTTAACCGACTGAGCCACCCAGGTGCCCCTGATACTTACATTCTAATAGTCAAATTTTATTAATCTAAAATGATAATCCAGAAGCAGAAAGTATGTGGCATGCATACTGATATGCTTTCTTTCCCCCAAAATAAGGCCTATGCCATACATCACTAATGGATGACAGAACTCGCTCTCACTTTTTTAGGACAATGTTTCAGTCTCCATCCTAACATAACATCCTTAACCAGCTACTAACAATCAACCATATTTAGTGTAAGAGGTGAAATGACTTGCCTCTCTTGCCTTAGCCAGATAAATTGATTCCTTAGTTGTGGCGTTTCAGGCATAGTGGAGTGACGGTGGGAAATTATTTTGTATGTAAAGAATTTCCTTCATCAGCACATAAGCATCCACCTACACTGCCATCAAATCAGGTTTGTCCATGAGTATTTTAAACATAGTTAAATAAGAGATATAGATTTGGGTGTTACTGAGCAGTGCTTTTTATAATGTCATTTGAATATGGATGTACTCAGTGACCTAAGCGAGTTTATGTTCTACCTCCTCCAGTTCAGATTATTTATAAACTAATTCAGGGCACTTCTTTGTCAAAATAACACATTCCATCTAGAGAAGGCTAAATCAAGTACTCCAGTGCCGGCTTCCTTTTCCTTCCCCCTTGCCCCCAGAATAAGACTATTCATATGGAGAACAAAATACAGACACTATTAGAATGGTATCATCTCTTATTTACTTCACAAAACAGAAGACAATATGTGTTGCTGTGAAATACAAATGAACTGTAATCCTCATCAGGTTTGGAAATAATGGATTCAAGCTAACATTTCCAGAAGAAATATGAAGGCAGTATTCTAAATTTCCTATTCTTTCCCAAATGAGTTTGCACAAAATGTGTCGCTAAGAAGAGTAATGTGCCCATCACATAGTGAAATTTCCCACTTGCAAAATGAAAATGAAAAGTCTGCATTTTAGGATGGCATGTTTAAACACATGCACCATGCTGTTTGTACAGTGGGGAAAAGAAAGCTCCCCCTACTGGAGCATAAAAAAGCCTCATCTCTTTCCTGCACCCCATGGTTCCATCATAGGCAGGAAGGCACGGAAACATATAGTCTTCCCATTATCCTGCACAGAATCCTGGTTCTGTCATCAAAACATTACATTTTCCTCATTTCAGTTAATTAAAGGACAGCTGGACATTCCGTTATTGCACCAGTCTCAGCTCTGTCTAGTTGAAATGGGGCATGTAAAGGTCTTGGTCCCAAAGACACTTTCACCCAAAACAAACGGTTTTACAATTCGTGCCTCTGATGGAGAAATTGGAAAAAGAAGTAAAAATCATCCTTGAAGTGTGTATCTACGTGTGCCTGTGTCTGATTTTCATAACACACAAGTACATACGTAGACAGGGAAAGTGAAACTTGCATGGAAGAATTTTAATATATCCATATCATCTATGTACGTATGTATGTATATACAGAAAGAGAGAGAACACAGGCACACACAGGTACACACTCCAGAGACGATTTTTATTTCTTTTTCATATATCGTGTACATTATATATATGTAGGAAGGAATAAAAAAAGTTGTCACATGATTAGTGAGTTGTTATTAATGGTTGGATATTAGCATTTATTGGCAAATCTTTAGACATAGGAAAGTCGATATATATCTATTTTACTCTATAAGCATAAAAAACTAACGTAAATGTGAGAGGTTTAGAGATTTAGAGGCCTAGCCAAATTAAAGATAAAAATAATTTTCCCATGCCAATATAGGAGGCAAAGTGTTTTATCAAGAGGGCAAAGGGGTTTCTACTGAAAAACATTCTAATGAAAATTTTCTTCAGAAGAATTTCTAGGCTTTCATAATTGAAGCGTTTGTTGTCTACAGAAAAAAAACAAAACAAAACAAAAATACCTGCAGTTAACCAAATTTAAAGATATTTCTACCAATTCTAGAAGGATGGGGGCATGGATGAGGGGGACATTAAGCATGTTCCACGTAACTTTTCAGAGTTTTAATGTTACTCATATGGGACACTCTGGGGACTCTCCATTCTCCTCACAATCAAGTGGGCAGCCTTTATCAGCAGAGAGGTAACAGACAATCGGAACAATTCTTGCCTTTGAAATAGGTTCAATTATAGTCCACATCCATTTTCAAGATGAGCTTCATATTTTCATTCTTTTTCTTTTTTGAAATAAAACCTGGGGAGAGTGGGTCCTTCAGAATTAGCAAATAAATAACGCACATGAACACTGTCTTTCCAGTCTCTCTCTGTGTGCAGGACTAAGCAAATGTTCTGCTTCTAGAGCAGCTCTGGACTCTCAGTGATAAGGAAGCTCTCTGGGTTTTGGAAGTCTGGTCATCAAAGCTCCCACTTCACAGAAATCTGAGGCATGACCCTCATTCTGTTTTGGAAACTTATGCACTGATTGGCTTTTTGAGCAGATGATTCCAAACTCTTAAGGGGCGTGTGAGCTGAGGGGAGAGTCTGTGTGCGTGCATGTGTGACTGCACAAGGAGAGATGGTGCATTGAAGATGTTCTTTGCTCCTTTCCTTGTATTCTTTTATACGCTCGGGTGTAACAATTTTCGGAAAATGGTGTTTTGGTACAGCCAGATAGTCTAGAGACCATCCTGGCCCAGAACCTCCACTCTTTATATGCATTTTCTAAGAAAACAATACAGTCACAGACTGAGAGTAATCCAGACTTTTTTTTTCCCTCCTCTCCATCCTGATTTTATAAGACATAAAATATAAGAGATGCGACTTTTTCTAGAAGTGGACAAAATATGATTATGATCTGCAGTGAATGGGGGAAGTATACAAATCTGATTTGTCACTTGCTTCCCACAACTAGAACTGGGTTACCTCTTATAAAGGGAGAGTGCACCTCTAAACCCACTATACTAGGTATGTTGGAACCCATAAAATTTCCAATTACTGCTTCAGAATTTATTGTGCACATATGGAAAATAATACTTGTAAAGCAGAAAGGGGTTTGTGCCTTGTGCTGTCAATACTGTGAAGGATGGGGTGATTATAAAGCAAATTAACAATACTTTTAAATGTGCATTCACTTATCTTTCCAATTAAATCCTTGTTAAACAACTGCACAGACAGTAATGGTGCTTCTGCAAAGCACTGATCAAGACAGTTTTATTGTAATTTTTACTCTGCAACAATTAATCAAGTAGGCATTTTCTTTATTATTAAATTATTTAGTTAATAAATATTCTCCATTGGCTAACATATTTGTAGTTTACATGTTATTTTTGATTTTCCTACAGTGGAACATATTTAGGGATATTTCCATTTTCTAGTAAAGGGACCATGAAGGCATGTGATTTTATAAATTTCTTTTCTTTACAAGACTAACTGTGAACAAGAGAAGTCCTTGAAACTTCAAACCATTCAAAAACCCTATTTCAACCATTTTATTTTGTAAGGGATGCAAACACCTTGGTTTTAGCAGATAAGAAATGAGAGCTTTTGCTTTAAGGCATCTTTCTGTTGGGGTAAGCAGGAAAATTAGCATTTTAAAAGTTCATTAATGCCAGTTACAGACTTTTGAGTCATGAAGCTGCATTGTAGTTAGCATTTTCTGTTCCTATCCCAGCGAAGTGAATAGTACCTGAATATTATTCTTCTGTAAATATTATTCTTTCTACCACACAAGGTGGTAGAAAGGAACAGATGAAGATATCTAGAAGTATTTTTTCTGCTTTTGAATTTCCAGTTTTGTAATTTGGAGGTCTGAATTTATGTAGCTAGTATACTTCACTTTTAAAGTGTTTTAATGGTTCTTTAAACAGCCTTTTGTGTTTTGTATCTTTTAAAAATTTTTAATTAGGAGGAATTCCTAGGAAACCAGATTAGTAGTGAGGGCGGTGATCTCAGACACTTGGTTTTAGGATTCAGGACGACTACATTAATTCAGAAGTAAGAATAAACATAGAAGAGATACAACATTTTCTTGAGTCATAAAAAGAAAATTTCAGGCAAGGCTAGTTTTATAGTTAGACAAGTGGTGTGATCTGAGCTGGGTCAGATCACTTTTTGAAATGCCTGATGTGAAAACTTGATATCCTCACTATTGTTCTGATTATAGGAGGTCCCTTACATTATGCTTCCCAGGACGAGCAGAGAGCCTGATCAAGAACACTCAGATTAACAGACTGTCACCTTGGGAGCAGACTCTTGGCAGATGGGGATGATAAGTTCGTTGGTGGGTAAGGGAAAAGGGAGAGGAGGGGAAGGAACGGAGGAGATGGGGGCTTTGGGTAGGAGTATGGAGAAATTGGGCTTATTAAGACTCAACCTCTTGAAAGTGTCGTGAGGGCAGGTTGACCTGAGAGGCTCCTGAAGCACACTTTGCTTGACTTTGATTGACAACTGAGCCCAGTTGGAAATCAGCTAGATCTCTGGGGCTAAAACATGCAATGCTGATGCCAAGGCACATGTTTCTCCTGACTGAAATAACAGGGCCTAAAAGGCCTAGAAGGCGCTTGGCACACAATGGACATGATGGGGAATTCAGAGGTAACTGTGAAGTACATCTCCTGCCGGCATTAACGGTTGGGAAAGGGAGAGAGATCTGATGCAAAATAGACAAAAACCGGTGTTAACCACAGGCACAAAATGCTAGGGGAAGGGGGTAGAAAAGAAGTTAATTCCTATTGAGATTTTTTTTTTCCAGGAATCATGAAATTTGTCTTAAGGAGGTAAGTTCATCAGTCAGCAAGAGCTGTGATGGTGTGCCTCTTGCTTGAAAAGACAGATAGGTTGCTCCTTCCGTTGAAACCAATCAAATAGTACTGTACATACATATTCCAGTCCCTCTTATTGATGGGACAGTGAATCCAAACAGACTTCAGAGAAAGAGCAGAGAAAGGTAAGTGAATCCTTGATGGCTGTCATAACACAGAAGGAACAGATTAATAAGAAGGGACAGCAGGGTACTCACTAAGGAAAAATGTAGCAGGGAATGAGGAGGCCACAAAAAGACAAACAATCTGGAGGAATGTAAAATATGAGATGAGATGGTGTAACACAGAGAAAGGCTGCTACTTAAGCAAAATGATTCCAGTGGGCCCTTTAGAATCTTCCAGACATTATGTTGAGTAGACTATTGGATATCCTGCTCACCTTGAGTGCCTCCAAGATGGAGACCAGACGTTGGAACACCATAACGAGGCTACCATTCCAGTTTGTCTCTAGAGTACTGTGAGACACATAGTGCCTTCTCGAAAGATACACTGAATGAACGAATGTAACTTTTAGCAATTCAGTTAAACTCATAGGGACTTTTATTCATCTATGAAGTGGATAGATTTCTTATAAAGACCTAGTGGGTCAGCATTTAAAAGTGCTTTGGAGAACTGACGTACTGACATTCTCTTGGCATGTTCAAAGGAGTAAGCCCCATTCTCTCAAAGAAGATTCACCTAATTCTTTAAAACAAATCTCCTTTCAAAGATATATGTGCTAATTGTAGGAAATTAGGAAACAGTTTGAAAAAAAGAAGATAATAAAAATCACCAGCACCTCTTAACATTTTATGCATGTCTTGCCATTGTTTCAGAAACAGAGTTCAGCAATACACAGTAAAATAGTCCGTATTTAAAATAGACTGATCTCTAGCATGTACAAAATGCCTCACCTTCTTTTTGAAGGAAATGACTCAACCCTGGATCTAATCAATAAATTAATTAAAATGGTTTGAGATTCTATCAGATGCAAGATATTCTTTGAGGTGAAGTAGGACAGATAGACTTAAAAAACATGAGCTCTGCTCTTTAGCAGTGTCCAGAGTGTTGAGGAGATATGATATGTACATAATTTAATGATATATGACACACATATACAATAATAATACTAATGATGATAATTATATATGTTAATTATATATTAATATATATTAATTATGTAATAATAATAAGTGATTATTGGAATATGGAGTTATTCTCATAGAAATCCATTACCATTATTATATCTTAATTGAACTGTTGTAAAAGCTTCCTAACTGTTCTCCTGCTTCTACTCTTGCCCTGTAAAATTTATTCTTCTCATAGCAGTCAGAATGATTAAAAAAAAAAAAACACATAAATAATATCAGATTATTTCCTGGTTAACTACCCCTCCCACACTGCAGTGACTTAGAATGAAAGACAAAACTTCTTATCTTGATTTACAAGGGCCTCACTGGACAGGCTCTGCCCATCTCTCTGACTTCTGTGTCCTGATCTCCTACAAGCCTGTGTTCCCTGGGACCAGTTTCCCGCTGCTACTCAGCTCTCCCCACCACATCTCCGCGGGCCTCTCTCCTTCCTATCAGATCAGGTTTCCACTCAGATGGCTCCTCTTCAAAGAGAACTTCTTAGACCATCCAATCTCATCAGTTATTCTCTCTTACATCACTATCTTGATTCTGGACATGACTTGTAAGCATCTCATATATTTGCTTATTATAAACCTCTTGACACTAAAATAACACTCCACCACAGCCTGATTCCCCAAGGTTCTCCTCAGTGCCTAGAAGAGAGCCTGGCTCATAGGAAGTTTTCAACAAATAATTTTGA